CTGCCGTCGTCACTGAGGAGGAGCATCTAGTCATGCTGTGTGTGTGTGTGCGTGTGTGTGTGTGTTTTTCAGAGTTGTCTGAGGTGCTGTGGTTAATGGTGATGCGGATCTCCTTCCAGCAGCTCAGTTATGTGGGCTCTGTCATCATGGTGGTTATATTTGCTGCCTTCGCTGTGCTAACCGTATCTATCCTGCTCGTCATGGAAGGCCTGTCCGCTTTCCTACACGCACTTCGACTTCACTGGTGAGAGAAACATGTGCTCAACATCCCGCCAAGTTTAAGCTTAGTGAGACTGACTAAGCTGCAATCTAACCCTTGCCCGTATATACTACCATATACAGGTGCATCTCAATAAATTAGAATGTCATGGAAAAGTTATTTTATTTCAGTAATTCAACTCAAATTGTGAAACTCGTGTATTAAATAAATTCAATGCACACAGACTGAAGTTTAAGTCTTTGGTTCCACGACATTCTAATTTATTGATATGCACCTGTATACTCAAATTATGCAGACCTGTCCTAAATTTAAGATTTATGTACTTGAATTTCATATACATTGTCCATTCATTTGGATTACACAGATTTAATATAAACAAAGTAAATAAAATGTAATGCATATTTGTCAGTCATATATGACCCTGGACCACAAAACCAGTCATAAGGGTCAATTTTTTGAAATTGAGATTTATACATCATCTGAAATCTGAATAAACAAGCTTTCCATTGATGTATGGTTTCTTAGGAAATGACAATGTATGGTGTATAGTTTGTTATGATAGGACAATATGTGGCCGAGATATAACTATTTGTAAATCTGGAATCTGAGGGTGCAAAAAAATCAAAATATTGAGAAAATCGCCTTTAAAGTTGTCCAAATGTAGGAAATTTACAAAATATCTTCATGGAACATGAACTTAATATCCTAATGATTTTTGGCATAAAAAAAAATCGATAATTTTGACCCATACAATGTATTGTTGACAACTTAAGACTGAGGTCCAGGGTCTCACATGTAAAAGAAATGGGTGGTATTTCTGGAATAGTACTAATAATAACGAATTTGTTAATTCAAAACAATTTGAATAAATGCATTTTGAAAATATAATTTCTTTAAATAAAATCAAATAGATGCAAATATTTAAGAAACTGACATGATTTTTTGGAGTGCAGAAATCTTACCTGTTTTATTTATGTATGAATGACAAATATACATCGTATTAGGTTTATTAGTTTACGTTAAAACTGTAATCCAGATACATGGAAATTTAGGCCGGTCATTTTAAAAACGTAATTTTGTGAAATGTTCTGATTCCAGTGTATGCTTGTGCTATATTTAAAATAAATGCCCTCTGTTTTGATATTTTATTAAAAAAAATTTTGTTCAAAGACATTTATACTTTTTTTCTTTTTTTGACTCAAGTGTTTTGGGCCACTGTATACACATATATTCCCCAAATTAAGTATATACAATAATGTAAGGTCTTTGAAATATCTTGTTTGTTTTTTTAATTCCTCACAACTCTTTGCTGTGGTTAAAAAAAAGAATGGTGGAACAGTTTAAGAAGTTTAAGAAGAAAAATTGAAGAAGATGGAATTCTAATTATCTTGTAAACCAATGAGATCTTTATAACAGTATAGCAGACGACTTTCATAAATGCATATAAATATGAGTTATTAGTGATAACTTATCACTCTGCATCTCACAATAATACGTCTTAGAAATATATTTGTGTACCACGACCTCTAACGTGGACAGTTTTACTGATGTACTAAAAAACCTTTTTTCTTGATAAAGTATAAACTATAAATCAGATGACAGAAAGCATGTATTAGACGTATACAGCATGTTTTTCAGCAATGTTTTGATGATTATAGGTCTTAGAAATTTGCTCATCAAACATGATACAGTAGGCTTTATATGGTTATTTGGATTGATCATGCTGTACTTTTATTATCAGATTTCTGACTCTCTCTCTCTCTCTCTCTCTCTCTCTTTCTCTCTCTCTTCCTCTCTCAGGGTGGAGTTTCAGAATAAATTCTACAGTGGAACAGGCTACAAACTCACTCCGTTTGCCTTCACATCAGAAATTGGAGCTTTCTCTCTAAAGTGACCCATGAACTTCCTCTAGTAGTCATGGGACAGGAAAGAATAATGTAATTATTTTGCTGGGGGCACAAAGTGCATTTTAAAATGTATCATGGAAGCATCTTTCGTTTTCTTTTATATTTTAGCTTGAGTGGCGCTGGACCTGAAAAATCAAACATGAAAAATGTTTTAGCGCCCTATTATGCATCCACATCCATATCTTTGACACTTTGCAACATTATCTTTGAAACTATATCTGAGTACATTGCACACATGTGATGTTGAGTCTTTTAGTTGAGTGAACATGATTTTTTAATTGAAGTCTTGAGTCCACATAAAATAAAGTTCTTTTAGCTAATGCTGCATAATCAGGTGTATCTGTGAGCAGTTATGGTTTAATCTAATTATGCTTTAATGCTGCAAGTACAAACCGTTTGTACAATTATGAAATAATTTGGCAATTAATCACAAGAACTGCAAGAATATGTACACTTTAAATGAAATAAAGTACATTAAGAATGTTTTCTCACAATGACCTCCCAACATAAAATTAAAATCAGTTTTAAAATGAGTTTGCTAATTTTCAGGTTGTTAATCAATAGCTTGAAATGTTTTGATTTACAGCATTTTTCAAAAGGAATAATCTTCCATCCATGTGCTCTTTTATTGTTGTTTTCTACTATCACAATTAAACTCTGTTTTAATTATGGAGCTGATGTCAAGCCTCACAGTTGTACTTGCTGATCAGTAAAGACCAAAGCCTTTCAATACTGAAAAAAAACAGGAATCATACCTGCGCTGACCTGCACTCATCCTTCCACCAATGTTAGATTTTGATATTTTTGGTACCCAAAGCACACCGATGCACAATTTCTGGGCACAATTCAGCAATATTGATGAATATAGGGAATGTTTAGGTCTATATGAGTTTGATTAGTAAATGTTCTAAGATGTGTTGCTCCAGGAGCAGTGTTAGGAAATACTGGCTGTGTCTAAAAGCTAGCTGTCCTATCAGGTAATGATTCTGCAAGCAACGTTTGCACACAAAAGTACCTCACATGATTTCAGACAAACTGCATAAAGGCAGCATAAAGGTTTAATGATCTACAACAAAATAGAGCTTTGGTGATAACTAAGCAAATGCTTAATTACTACCATATTGATTTCTCACTTGAAATGGCATCAAAAGTGAAAAACAAAAGTCAAAAAAGTACATTTACACACAAACTGACCACCAACCGCAAACTTTTAAGTTGCCATCTTATTTTACCTGTCATGGAATGGAATGCATACACTGTAAAGATTGTATTAAAAATCGTAGTTAGAAATGTACTGTGAAAGCAATGCATGCTGGGTCATTTTCTTACAAATAACTGTGAATGAACAGCAGAATGAAGCTAACATCACAGTAACTTACTGCTCTTGTTTTACTGTGAACTCTCATTATAAAGTTGTCTTTAACTGTGCCACTGTCAGAAATGTACTTGTTCACTACTGTAATTATTTTGAAGTCACCATCCTGGTGATTGGTGATCCCATTTGTTTGGGATCTTGGACCTTGTAAATTCATATTCAAATTTCTGACCTAGTCATGTCAGAAGTGACAAATAAAAACATTTGTCAAAATGATGACAAGCTAGAATATGAATAAGCTAATTACCTGACTTTAAGATATTCAAACTATTCTTAGCATGTATATGAAATTTAATTTTAGCATTTTTTAAGCATGAATATTAATCAATAACTTATTTTATATTCATAATTGTTTGTGGATGGACCTTACACAATAGTGAAGCAACTGCTGAGATGCGTCTTTAAAATGTCTCGACATACAAAACACAACAAATAAAAACAACACTTACAACATTACAAAATAAGCAACACAATGTTTATATGCACTGTAGAAACAAAGTATGATGCTGTTTGTTTACAAGAATATTTCTGAGAGTGCAGTTTGATACAAGAGAAGTCCCGCTGTGGAATTACTGTGAACGTAATGCAATTATTAATATATTGTAATTTTACACATTGTAGTCTGTAACACACACAGAGTGCATTTGCCTGAGGTTCTGGAGGTCTAGTGCAGAGTTCAACTCCTGTAATTAAACAGTTATAATAATCTACTCTAGACATTCAGCTTTACTGGAACATTACAGGCAGGTGTGTTGGAGCCGGGCTTTTGATCTGATTCTGTTTGGATCCTCTACTCAGTTGTCACTCCCCTACGCTACAATCACATTCATATTTGAGTGTGACGCCAATCAAAATCAATCAAATCCAAAAATCAATCAAAATCCAGTCAACAACAGCTGAATAGAACCAAGACCTGCCCTATATATATTTTCTTTTTTGATAATATAATGAAAAAATGTAGCGCAGGGCAGGTCAATATACAGAAGAAAAAAAATTATCTATTGCTACTTCTGTTTGTTTGGGTTTTTTTTTTACCTAAAAATATAATTTCATATATTTTCAGATATGTGTTGTTTAATATCCATTAGTTACCCTAATACAGAATATCCAATATTGAACCATAAAATGCAAAACAATGAAAACAACAAATTCTTGTACCTTAATTTATCTAAAAGCAGAATGAGATTTAACTGTGATTTTCTGTTGTTACAATCAGTTTAACTGGTAAGATCCTCAGAGGGGAAGTTGTGCAGCGATTATATAGGAATGGAAAGACAGTCTCTGTGAAGGTTGTTGTGAATGATCACTGAACGACACACTGGTCAAATCAGAAGAGAGTGTGAGCCAAGGATGTGCTGTCTTTGGATCTAGAGTCAATGGAGCTGCAAAGAGAATTAAATCAGATGAGAGGATATGATGGTATATTAGAAATACAAACCTATTTACATAAACATACTCTGAAACTTAAGTAGCTAAGGGCTTTAGTATGTTTGGACATTTTCATAGTTTTTGTCAATTGTATGACGCATGATAATTCTCATGAAGTAGTCCCATTTGTGCCTGAAATTTGCAGGACATATATTTTTACATTATTTAACTTGTAAAGGATAAACATATACAAATATTACTAGCAAGGCACTGTGCTTAGCATATGAAATGAAAGCCATTTTCTGATCCTACCTTGTGAGATGGAAGCACTTCACTGATGGGTCTGAATGTGTGATTGACGTGTTTCTCTGAGTCTCTGCACACTAAACACACCGGCTGTTTGTCCTCCAGACAGAAGAGTTTGAGTTTCTCACTGTGTAAACTGCAGCTCTCTTCAGATCCTGATGAGCGCCTCTCGTTTCGCTCCTTTATCAGTGAATCACACAAGTTTTTTAACGCTAGATTACGTGGAGGCTCTGGTCTTGACGATCTTCTTCTGCAGACAGGACACTCCTGAGTTTTCTTGGTTCTCCAGAACTGTTGAAGACACTCTTTACAAAAACTGTGACTGCAGGACAGAAGAACAGGATGCTTGAAGATTTCACAGCAAACGGGACAAGAAAGCTCTTCCACCAATTTGGAATCCATTTCCTCTTCTTGTAAAAGCTGCAACGATCTACAATTTACTTTCACTTTCTGACTTTGAAAAGTAAATAACAATTACAACCAAAATCAAACCTATTCTGTTCAATACACTTCTCCAAAATCCTCATTTACAGTGTCCTCCTCTGATCTCCAAAACACTGACTCTTTAGCCTTCAGTAAGATATTGGAGAAATCATAAGACTAGTCACTTCCTGGTAGGGTAAAGGTTAAAGATAAAGAAGGGTGGAGTTTCTGATGTGTTTTGAGCTTCTGAACAGAGACTGAATGTACAGTTGAACTTTATTTGTGCTTTCATCCACCGGACTCAATAAACTGAGAATCAAACTACCCTGCTGAACAAAAACCCCAATAGAAACCTTTACAGGATTTGTAATGGTTTTACTGGTTATAATAGCAATTGTATTGGTTTTAATGGATACTGAAATGGTGTCTGTTGGTCTCTACTGGTAGTTAGTTGCATTCGGTTGGTGACTTGATAAAACCACTAAATCCTAACAGAATATGTTTCAAAACGCACTACAGAAAACCGTTTTTAATGGTTTTAATAGTTAAAAGTTGATGGTTTGTAATGTTTGTAATGGTATTTGTAGTGGAAACCATTAGAATTTCTGTGATGGTTTCTATTGTTTTTTTTTCAGCATGTGAATGTATTTTTTTAATAGCAGGAAAGAGAAATAACCTGTCAGTAGCAGCACAATAATTAAACAACAACAACTATCTAGTTTTATGTTTCTAATATTCTATCAGAAACAGTTTCAATGAAACACTAGGGGAAGGGAATTACAGCCTATAGATTTATAAATCAATCTATAAATCTGTTATTTTTAACATTGACTCTTGTGTGCAGACTGATTCAAATGCAACACTGGCTTTTAAAAACAACAACAGCAACAGGGTATTGTCAGTGTATTTTAAGACCCTTTTTGTTAATGTAATCATAATTGAACATATCATAAAAAATAAAAAAAGATTGACAAATTTATTGTTTGATGCGGCAGTTCTTCGTTGGGGTTTTACAGCAGAATGCATCCGAGATGCAGCAGTTTATTTTGACTTTTAATTGTGACAGTGGCGTGCTATGCCGTGTAATGGCAGTAATGTGGTTCTATGTAATTTTTTAATAAAAAATATATTTATTATCTATAATTTTCATACCTTTAATACTTAACTGAAGGGTATAGACTCAGAAGATATATTGCCAGACAAGTTGAATAAGGCCATTAGGAATGGCATCAAATACTACTATAAACACTTTGGCGGTTACAGGGATCGTATGAATGAATGAATTAATGAGTTTCTGTAAAACAATTTATTTTTAAACGTAAAATATACTACGTATACCCAACGTATCAAAAATTAACTCAGGAATGATTTTCCAAAGTTTGCCTTTAGACTGCAGGTAGTTCTTTATCCATTTTTTTTCTTAAATACAAAATTAGCAGTATTAAAGTCAAGTACATTAAGAGCACCATCTTCAGTTGGAAAAAGACAAGACTGTTTTTTTATGTAATGTGGTCTGTTCTTCCAGATGAAATTGAACAAAAAAGTATCCAGCTCTGTTATGACCGATTGTGAAACATCTAATGCAAGAGCTGTATACACTAAACGTGACAACCCTTCAGTTCTGGATAATAACATTCTTCCTTTTAGTGACAGATTTCTCTTTAACTATGAATTTAATATTTGTTTAATTTTCTTAAAAAATTGGATTGCACATTATTTTGATTTGTAGGTGTCAAGACATTATGAAGTGGTCCTCACTATTTGAAAGATCCATAATTCAGCTAAAAGCTGTTTTGTCTTGGGATGTGCTCATTATAATTATTATAATATAATAATATAATATAATTATTATTGATTTTGCGCCTCAGAAGGCCTGCCTTATGCTCACTGATCCATAGCTCCTCTTGAGGGCGCTGTGCGAAAGGAAGAACTAACATAGAAGAAGAAGACTGTGGGCGGCGGCGGGAAACATAAATAGGAGCTCTGTGTTTATATGAGTGAAATACATTACTTTTTATTATCCGGACTGTAAAAACTACCCAACATGGTTCAAGAATATCATGTACTGAGATGTTTTTCCTGTCAAACATTTCAAGTACAGCAGGTAACAAGAAATTTCCAAAAGAAAAGCATTCAAAAATTCTACACACCCGTTTTGCTTTTTTATTTCTTAGATCTTTTAAGGCCTCAATATAATGCTTAAGTTCAATTTTAAATAATGTAATGTTAGGTTTATTCTTACTCCTTTTTTGTTCGTGTATATGGTATTTCCCATACATAATTATTAAATAATTACCTAATTTTGCTCCAAACTCTTAATTTTATACATCAAAACTATATCTTTACCAGAGAGTCGAATCTTTAATTTTGTAAATTGTAATATTAGATATTCAATATCAATCCAAAACATTTGGGTAGATACATATTCATAAAATAAATGTTTTATGGATTCTTCCTTTAAGTTACAAAAGAAGCATATAGTCTCCATGCCTCTAAAAAATAGTTGTGACTACTAATCTCTCTGGGTAAATCAAATGAATGACTTTATAAGTAACTTCTTTAACTTTATTGGTGAGACTAGGTTAACTCCAGACCTCTTTCCATTCAATCTAATTATAACGAATTCCAAAAAGCTATGCATTATGGGAATCATACCTGCGCTGACCTGCACTCATCCTTCCACCATTGTTAGATTTTGATATTTTTGGTACCCAAAGCACACCGATGCACAATTTCTGGCCACAATTCAGCAATATTTATGAATATAGGAAATGTTTAGGTCTATTTGAGTTTGATTAGTAAATGTTAGTAGTCAATATACGATAACTTATGACAAATTGATTGATGACTTTGACCTTTGACCCATAATTATATCCATATGCGACCACTGACATCATAATAATTTCCATATGCGAAAATCGGCGCTCGTGAAATCCGGCCGTCAACCTTTGAGCTCCGGGGGATGACAAATGATGTTTGTTCAGATGTATGAAAGTGACCAAGGATGACAGGTGATAAATTAAGTATTGTTTTTGAAGATATTATGGTCCGTTTCCATATCCGGACGCATGTGTGTCTTACGTCCCCCGTGGTATCAGGTTGCTGTGTGTCATGCTCGCTCTCTCTCGCTCTCTCTCTCTCTCTCTCTCTCTCTGTGTGTGTATGGGGAGCTGTGATTAAAAACAAGCATTGATGAAGAATAAACAGAATAAACTATTTTAACAGATCGTGAGATCGTATCACAATATGTGTGTGTGTGCTGGTGTATATACTGTATTAAAGATTCTCAGCATATTAATGAATTGAAAATAAATCAATAAAAAATATAAATACCCTTACATTATTTTGGGAGCGATGATGACCGCTCAGTGAATTAAATGTTTCCCAAAATTGTGCTTGGTTTAAGTCTGAGATCATCTGTATTTCTCTCTCTCCCCCTCTCTCTCTCCCGCCGCCTGTGTGTGAGTGTGCTCATGGCTGTGTGTGTCGAGCCCCCACCCGTCCTGTCATTTCGGTCCGCTGCGAGAGAGAAAGCGGATAAGTTTGGCAAAAGTTTTAAATGCACTATATCTATCTCAAAGCGCAATATTACTGTAATGTTTAAATAAACCGATTCCCTATTCATCTGATGTCCAGCGGTTCTTCTTTATATTGTAACTACGTTTCTTATTTTAAGCATGGTATGCTTACATGGTCTACAATGGCTCAGTGGTCTATGCAGTCATGATGTGATGCAATAATTCGTTTTTGATCATCGTATCTCATTTCCGTCTCAAACGGGGTTTAAAATGCGTTTAGCTAATATCACATCTATTTTAAATATTAATTAACCTTTATTCATCAATTTTTTTAATTTGGTTATGTTTTATTTCACAATGTCGATCTGTTTAAACAGATGTTCTCACGGAGTTCGAACAAACCATTATGTTATGTTAAATAAACAGTAGTACTAGCTGTTTGTACACATGTTTCAGATCCGTGGCGATGTAAATATTGTCTTCTGTTACAGTTGTAATCTACACATTCCTAAATTCTCTGTCACCGCTCAAAATCACATCTAAAACTAATAAACTATCTTTAACCTACGGCTTAAACACACAAACACACACACACACACAGACACACACACACACACACCCGTTTGCTTAGCTATCTAAATAGGGACATTACACAGACTCCTGTTGTTGTTCTTTTATCTACAGATAATTATACATTTTACAACCTAACCCATCGCAGAAAACGTTACATCTTACAAAATAAATAAATAATTGACATGATTTATAAGTAATTTTCTCATGGGTTCAATAAAATGGCTCATGCAATGTCAAAAATGTTCATGCTCCTCTCTCGGTCACTTGGCCACTGTAGTTTAGGATAAACAAGTACACCAACACAACATTCAATCATCCGAATATTATTATTATTTTTATTTATTTAGTCATTTAGCAGACACTTTTATCCAAAGCGACTTACATTATTAATAATAATATAATGTAATTAATAATTACATTTATTATCTTCTTTTAAATGAAAATATATTAATTAGGCGATCGCATATGATATAAAGCAAAGCAAAACATTTACATTAGTTTTAGTTATCGCTAAAAATAAAAAAAAACGTCGCACATTTTACCAGGATCGGGGGAAAAAAATATATATTTTAACAGGTCAAACGATAAGGACTATTGGGGGCAAGGACAGGTCCGGTCATGTTTATGAAGACTTTACATAGATAATTCAATTCAATTTAATTCAATTCACATTAATTTCTTATAACTTTTTTCACAAAACAAATTGTTGCAACGCAGTTTCACAGAAAATTAAAGATTCTACATTATATTTAGAACCCTTTATATTCATATTTACATCATATTTACAAACTTTTATATTCATATTTACATTATATTAATGGATTTTATACTCTATCACCCCTAAACCTACCCATCACAGTACACTTTCTGCATTTTAATATTTTCATAAACATCATTTAATATAATTTATAATGTAAAAAGCTGTTATGTTCATGGGGGTAAATTTTGCACAGGTCAATCATTTTGACTAATAATATAAATCTGGTTTACGGGGACACTCCATAGACATAATGACTTATACTGTACACACACAAAAAAAATCTGCATACATACAGTGGGTACGGAAAGTATTCAGACCCCCTTAAATTTTTCACTCTGTTATATTGCAGCCATTTGCTAAAATCATTTAAGTTAATTTTTTTTCCTCATTAATGTACACACAGCACCCCATATTGACAGAAAACAGAAAA